TGCCGCTATGAAAGACAAATAAACCCATGGATGAGTATCGTACGGTCACTCGTAGCTTCCAGGTAGGTGAAAGGGTACTTGTCAAATCGTATCAAGGTAATAGAAATTGGTAACCAGGTGTCATAGAACGTCGGATCGGAAATATATTGTACCTAGTCCGGATAAATGTCGGAACGTGTATAAGACACATAAATCAAATTCAAAGGGACGGCAGAACATTAGTCCCACAAAGACGACTCCCGTTTCAATCGCTTGTGGATTCATCTTGAAAAAACCCTCAGGAGCGCAAATGTAGAAAAGAAAAAAGTCGCAAGGATAAAGTTGCACAACCTTTGAGAGTGATAGACCGCAAGAGGAATACAGTAACCAAGTTTCAGGTGGAGCCGAGGAAAAAGTCTTACACAACAGACTTGAAATGGGGAGGTGTTAGGACGATTCACGGGTGAACTCGAGGAAGCCTTAAGAAGCTCAGAAAGAGCCAAAGATTTTCCATCCAATCATCTTTTGGAAGGATATTCTAGAATCTCTATGTGTAGCTTCCCGATTGGACAATGCTAATAACATCCTGTGTGTGGATTGGATAGCTATAATGAGGATTTTGTTTTTACTAAAAACTATAAATACCTGACAGTTTGTACTCTAATTTGACACTGTTTGGAATAAAATTCCTTTCACAAGTCTTCTGTCTTCGCATTGTGACTTGGAAGGGTTCTAACGTTCAAGTGCTCAAGAATATAAGCATTTGATTCACAAGTTATAACAATTGGCAACGGGGATTTCGGAAAACATTAACAAGATATAACACGTTCTTCATCACGGAATAATCTCAACCGCGAAACCGTCATAAATCAAAGAGCAATGGATAGCTGGTTCTCATCAATGTGCATCCACAACCCCACTGGGGACTTAAACCTCTACCTTCAGACATCGAGTCTGATGGTTCTGAGTTCGATTATACACACATTCAAATTTAGTCAGTTGGTGATATCGCTCTATTATTGTAGACGATTACTTTATGTCTGACACAACTCAGTTTCACCTGCCACGACTCCTATGAATTGAGTGGAGTTGAAAATCCGTACTTCTGGATGCTAACCTATCAGTCAATTAGTTAAGATATAGAAGCGTGGCCAGTGGGTCCTGGATTTGATCACCGGTTGGATTATGGGTACCCACCATTGAGCGGCCTCATACTAAGTCGGAACAACTCTTCAATTCTCTTCGGTATTAAAAATATAACAGCGAAGGTAAATCTGTGAAAAAAACACGTGCAAATAATGTACTCATTAAAATTACTTCATTTATTGAAAGTTTTGATTAAAGGTTGACATTTCGTGGCACGAATATACTATGAATGGTAAAAATGGTGGTCAGTGGTGTTAAACAAAAAAGTATTGTTTTTTTAAAAGAAATTACGGTTGATACATAGTAATGCACAATGATGATTAGTATTGGGAATGGTTGGAAGAATGTTAGGGGTAGCCAAATTAAAACGTGGCGTCAGAGTTTGAAGTCACTAACTTTTAGTCTGAGCCGTATTGGTAGATGCAGACTACTTGATTGGGGTCCGCACGACTATCGTAACTAATGGTTGGAGACTGTGTGTGACATGGCTCAGAATTGATCACAATTGCGTAGATGTATACACTATCTATCTTCCTTTAAACCATGAGATTAAAATTGCTTTATATCTTTCTTTCTTTCTACGAACTAATTGTTTAATTCTGTACTTTATATATTACACCATCGGGTTAACGACTTCTATGAATACGATGTTTGTCTTACTGTGCTAATGAGGTATGGCAACGTGGACCGATGCATGTATGTGAGTGGTCCTACGTTGTAACTAACTGACTGACATCGTAATTTATTTTCAAAACTAATTTACTTAACGTTTTTACCGAGAAAAACAATGAATGATCAGTTTGAAGTCATTAATGTACTTATATAATTATTCTAAATACAATCTAAGTTGTAAAATTTTTTAACTGACTGGTATAGTACTAAGTAGACTCATAAAAGGTTTTGTGCTTTTTTTCATGGAGTTTTGTTCTCTGAGATGGATGGTTTGGTCGTGGAGCTTTCATCGTTCTACTGAACGACATCATCAGTACAAACAAAATATGGATAGAACTCAACTGTTAGTCTGGAAATACTCACAGATACATGCTTTATCTAACCATATACATATATTTGTATGAACCCTAAGACAATTGTAAATAATGAAGTAGTGTATGACATTTATTTTGAGAGTTCTTCCTGCTAATGCTTCGTCAGTTATATAATGACCTTTTCAATCTAACTATTTGCTATGATATTACCTTACCTGATCAAGAACCAATGCCATTGTGTTTGGTATATCGTATTCGCACAGCATTATTAATCCCATCATGTGATTTTTGTCTACATTGCAACCAAAGACCAATTGAGAACACCATGTAAGCCTAATAAAAAAGTATATTATGACAAAAATAAATAAGATGGGAAAATATAGCTTACAAATCAGATACATTCATGTATTATTCTATCTGTAATGTCAAAGAATCATTGTTGAATACTATGTACACAACAATATTCCACATAATGTACACTTCATTCGATTGGCTAGTTCTCTTGTAAAATACTATTTAAACGATGATGTTTACATGTCTAATTTCCTTTTAAATGAGTTAGTGAAATGTCTTTTGTGATATTCGAATTTATCATATTTGATTTTCTTTCGAAGAAATGTTGTTGTTATTGTATTAATCATTGATCTATCTATGTATTCATGTTAGATCACATCATTTCTGAATTTCATACATACTTACTTACTTACGCCTGTTACTCCTAATGAAGTATAGGCCGCCAATCAACATTCTCCAACTTCCTTTCCCATTCTGTCCAATTTTTGTTCATTTTTCTCATGTTTGTCTCCGTTTCTCGGCGTAAAGTGTTCTTTTGTCTTCCTCTTTTCCTTTGGCCCTGAGGATTCCAAGTGAGGGCTTGCCTTGTGACGCAGTTCGGTGCTTCCCTCAATATGTGTCCTATCCACTTATAGTGCTTCTTCCTGATTTCTTCCTCCACTGGAATCTGGTTTGTTCTCTCCTAAAATAAGTTGTTGCTAATAGTGTCTGGTCAACGGATCAGAAGTATTTTGTGTAGACAACTGTTAATAAACATTTGTATCTTCTGTATGATGGTTTTTGTAGTTCTCCAGGTTTCCGACCCATACAGTAGAACTGTCTTGACATTTGTATTGAAAATTCTGACTTTGGTACTGGTTGACAGACAGTTGTTTTGAGTCCTAGATGTTCTTCAGTTGTAAATATGTTGCTCCGGCTTTGCCGACCCGCGCATTCACATCTGCATCAGATCCATCGTGTTCATCAATGATGCTGCCCAAATATGTAAAGGTTTTTACATCTTCCAAATCTTCTCCGTCAAGTATGTATCGATTGCTGCATGTTGTGTTGAATCGGAGAATCTTGCATTTCCCTTTGTGTATATTGGGACCTTCTGATGTTGAGGCTGCTTCTACACTGGTCGTATACTGCATTTGTCGTTGCGTGTTTGATAGAACAGCCATATCGTCGACGAAGTCCCGGTCGTCCAACTGCATCCTAGCTGTCCACTGTAGCCCATGCTTCCCCTCAGATGTTGACATCTTCATGATCCAGTCGATCATCAACAGAATGAGGAAGCAACCTTGTCTAGATTTCATGCTCTCCTTGTAATTGGAAATAAAAATTACTTGCTTATAATATAATAATTTATTCATTAATTCCTTATCTGTTAGATATTTTGTTAATCTTCTCATTGATGTTAATGACTTCAATTGATTAGTGTCTTTTCTTGGTTTATATGAATCCTGTGCAAATTGTCTCAATATTTGGAAAGTGTAATGAGAAGACGAAGTTTATCAGAACTATATGATGATATATCATCGTAATACATTTCAAACAATCTGATCACACATTATATACTTTCTAAGAACCCAATAAGAGTAAAGGATAAACATCCATCATCCTCTATTATCAAACATATAATTGAAACAGGCCATAAGATTAATCTTAACACGGCTTTTGTAGTGTTGTACAAGTGTTAAAAGACGTATACTGATGTCCATTGAAACTTTAACCATACGAAAATTTAAACCCTTTCTGTGTATTCAAAAAACAATTTGTTTTCATCTTAAACCTACTCTGGTAATATTACCTTTTTATCCAGAGTAATGAGGTTCTAAATTGTTTCCATATGATTATTTTCTTTATTATCTTTGTCTTCTTTTTACCCTCTGTTTCTAGATTAGTTGACCTTCTAGGTTTTATATATAAACGTCCTTAATATGTATATAAAGTGCGATCAGATTGTTCAAAATGTATTGCGCTGATATATATATAGTTCTGATAAACTTCGTCTTCTTATCACATTGTCTCAAAATTGTCATTAAGTTACAAACATTATTATCAACATCTCAGGATTTTGTTGCTATCCATCATCAATTTCTGTTTATAATGGTTCTATTATTTAATTGTTTATTTACAATCTAGTAATCATTCATTTAATTATGAGTTAATATACTGAATACATTTTCAGTTATATAATCAATACTCTTTGTATTTGAATGACATGGTGAGGTCGTGGATGCGCACTGCTAAGGAGTTTCATAATATGACGAAACGGCCGTCCAGTGCTTCCAGGTTTCCCATCGTGGATTAGATTCAATTGACTTATGATCTCAACTATTGACATATACATATATTAGAATATGGGTTGGTGGAGATTATAATGACTTTAATAGATAAATTCATGAGTTAATGTAAGTTGGACCACTATTGAAAACCTGAAAGTATTGGACAGCTGTTTCGTCGTAGTATGAGACTCGTCAGCGATGCCCATCCTGAGTTCGAGTCCAGCATACGAGACAAATATAAACATTATTAAGTTTATAATTGATGTCTACAACATGATTTCATTACATGTATATATGTTTCTTTTCGTTACTTCTTTTAATAAAGGATTTAAGTTGTCCACAATCATCTCATGAAAATGAATGTGGAACAATTGTACTTAGGCCAAAAAAAGGAAGGACTCGGTAAGTTGATATTTAACATTGATTTCTTGTTTAATTTTAATGATCCCTTATAACTTTTTTTGATATTTAATTTTTAACAATGAATTATAAGTAATAATAATAGCGTTAGCGTTTTTTTTTAGCGAGTTATTTTTCTACGGGATGGGATCACTAACCCTATGCCCAACCCTCCTCCTTTATCCGGGCTTCGGACCGGCAGTACCCCCCGGGGGGACTCCAGGCGGAGTTAGTAATAATAATGATATATATTCTCTTCAAAATTAAACACTTAATGTTTACAACATGTTCCTACTATAATCAGAACATCTTGAAGAATTTCATCGAAATGGTGAAGTTTCCAAGATGGTTGAAATGTTAGTTTACTAATGAAACTGATCACACCAAAGTCTCAACATGATGAACTTTGGAAAACAGGTTCATTGAGTATATGATTATAGGTTGAGAAATTTAGGTTATTATTTGTGTCAGTCAGTCAGCTGCAATGTAGGACCAGGCACATAAATACATCGGTCCAAGTTGCCATACCGCATTAGCACAATAAGATGAACACCGAATTCATAGAAGTAGTTAATTCAGTGTTGGTAATATATAGAAGAAGGATTGTGTATAAGGAGATAGTACAGGAAGAAAGAATTAGTTCGTAGAAAGAAATATATGAAATTATTTTAATCTCATCGTTTAAGAGAAGACAGAGAATTTATACACCTACACCATTGTGATCGATTCTGAGCCATGTCACACACAGTCTCCGACCATTGGTTATGCTAGTCACGCGGACCCCAACCAGGCAGTCTGCATCTACTAACATGGCTCAGACTAGAAGTTAGTGACTTCAAGCACTGATGCCACGTTTCAGTTTGGCCGCTCCTAACTTTCTTCCAATTATTTCTAACACCAGTGAGCATTGCGCGTCGTGGTAATCGGTGTTCAGGCATACGCAACATATTATTTGTATAAAAGTAGTTGATTCCCGTTTTATAAGAGGTCATTGAGAATGTGATCAATTCAATGTTAGGGGGTCTTAGATTATAGAAATGCATGACAAGGAGTATAAATCCCACCTACAGCATTAATTCCCTGAATATTTTAGGTAAACCATAGTAAGGAATACCGAGTAACACGAAACCTAGGTCTATAACTTCCTTCCGACTATCTTCAACCATCTAAAATTGTTTACTTATAAATTATTCGAACAAAATAATTTGAATATCAGAAGGGGTTTTGTGGAGATTTTAGTAATTTCAATAGTCAAGATCATGAGTCAATTGAAGCTAGACCACTATGGAGAACCTGAAAGCACTGGACGGCCGTTTCATCCTATTGTGCGACTCCTCAGCAGTGCGCATCCACGATCCGCCTCTTCAATTGACTCATGATCTCAACTATTGAAATTTGAATATTGATTTAAGTAGTCATTAAATGGAATTAATTTGAATTTGTTTCAAAATTATCAGTATTTTATTTACAAAACTTCCCTTATTGTGTTCAATGAAAATCTAAGTGATAGACAGATATAGATTGAATTAAAACTGCTCCGTGCAGGATTGAGTTAGGGCACGCTGATTGGCCATATCCCAACCAATCAGCGCTAGCTGGGACTTGGAGAAGACTTTAGGATCTTGTTATATAAAAATTATAAAGATACTAACGTTTAATTTATTGTGTTTTCTGCTTCAATCCAATCTTGTTATTTGGGATGTAATGACGTTCTTGTTCAACTATGTTCTGATTTAAGGACTTGTCTAGTGATGTCCAAGAATACGAAGCTATAGGAGCAGCTGGGTCGTAATAAAAGAAATCATAACACTAAGTGACTTTATAATTGCTATCATTAATATTATACTCTTTAATCTCCAAGACTGAATAAAGTTTTTAAGTTTCAGGATCATGAAAGTAATTGATTGACTATTGAGAATTGATTTGTAATACAAAATAGAAATTTCTGATTATAATCTTATCCACAAAATTGACAAATCTCTAAAACCTCGAAGCATTGGACAGCCATTTCGTCTTAATGTGTTCTTTGGTCTTTCTCTTCTCCTTTGGCCTTGAGGATTTCAAGTGCGTGCTTGCCTTATGACGCAGTTGGATGATTTCCTCAATGTGTGTTTTATCCACTTCTAGTGCTTCTTCCTGATTTCTTCCTCCGATGAAATGTGGTTTGATCTCTCCCACAATAGATTGTCGCAAAATGTTTCTGATCAACAGATCCGAAGTATTTTGTGTAGACAACTGTTAATCAACACTTGTAACTTCTGTATGATGACTTTTGTAGCTGTCCAAGTTTCCACCCCATACAGTAGAACTGTCTTGACATTTGTACTGAAAATTCTGAACTTGGTGTTGGAAATATATAACCTAATTCTTAGTAATCACTTCCTCATCAGAAAAAATATATAGAACGAGATGATTTGGACAAAATGAATAACAAAGAGTCAGATGTAACGGAATCGTTTATGATGAAAAAAAGGACTTAATATTGAGAGTCCTTTAAAAAAAACGAAATAATCGAATAAATCAGTGTCGTTGAAGCTTATTTCGAGCTATCTCACTTGAGGTCTTTTACTGTTGCTATCGATTATAATGTATATTATACAGTGAATATTTACGCCATCTAACTAGGTTTACTTAAACGTCTAATGACTCAATAAGTCAAAATCTTTTGCTTTTATTTGATCATTTTCGAGCTCCATTTCAACTTTCTACTCGTACAATAAACATTACACCACAGGCAAGTAATAGATGAACGTGTTTTAATACATATCACCGCCTCAATTGATAAAGATTCACAATCTGATTAACTGGTTTCCAATTTTTAAAGGAAGCATTGCTATATGTAACCTCATCATTACTCATTTGGCAGTTCAACCTTTAAGTAAACAATTCTTCATATATACATATGATTATTGATAAACAATTTAGTAATTGATTCAAGTGATAAGTTGTTTTTGATTGAGATCATGAACCGATAGATGTTAGACCATCATGGAAAACCTGGAAGCATTGGACGGCCGTTTCGTCCTATTGTGGGACTCCTCAACAGTGCGCATCCACGATCCCGCTCGCGGGATTCGAACCCATGATCTCAATCAAAAACTTGACAATCTTCACAACCCCTAAACTGATAATTACAATGTGCTCACTAGTGACTAAATTCGTGAGAAACATTCTCGGAGTTCTTGTGAGAATTCGTGACCAGCGGAGCTAATCCCTATCGGGTAGAAACAGGTGTCCACCTCAGTACAATGGAAGATGGTCGCGCAACTTCGTAGATTGGTTGATGTTAGACAATAACACCATTGGGTGCCGGGTCAGTGGTCCAGTAGGTTAAGCGTTTGTGCGCAAGACCTAAGGCCCTGGGTTTGAATCCTGCGAGCGGGATTGTGGATGCGCACTGCTGAGCAGTCCCACAGTAGGACGAAACGGCTGTCCAGTGCCTCCAGGTTTTCAATGGTGGTCTCACGCCAATCGGTTCATGATCTCAATCAAAAACTTGACAATCTCCACAACCACTAAACTGATGATAAGTTGTTGTTGTAATATTTATATGAACATAATTGATAGCTTTTCTCATTGTATTAATTTACTATTGATTAATCATTATTATCATTGTGTTTTTTTTTAGTAACTTGACTGATTATTCAAATTCAGGATCGAAAGAGTCAGTCACTAATATTACCAATAATAGTAATAATAATACAGATCGTGATCGTACCTTGAAATATCCAAATGTAAGTGTTCCTTTATGTTTAATTATTTCCTATGTATAATAAAATCACATGGAATCGTGTGTTTCATTCTGTCATATATCATATCAACTGTTTTAGTGATGTTATCTATGTCGGCATCGTTATCCTCAACTGCGAGGATCTACTGCACATTCAGAGAGAGTTGATGGAACCACAACTGACAAAATATTTTCTTGACTACCTTCCTGTCCCCTATTATGCTGCTCATGTGATCTTGTTTAGTTGTGATGGAGTTCTGTCTATTATTTGCACTTGATTGAGAAGCTACTGGACGGCTTTTATCACAGCCTGCTTTGATACGTCATATGGCTTTTCTGCATCCGGATTAGCTAGAAACTCATACATTGTCAGCTACTTCATCCGGAAGCAGTGAGCTTGTGTGGCCGAATGTATTTCGTTGTAAATGAATACGGTTAGCTAAAAAGTAATCTTCAAGTTAAATAAACCAAAGTTGTGGGTCGGTGACCCTAATAGGAAGAATAGTAAAATTAAAGGGCCTCACGGACAGCGCTTGTGAAAGACTTATTGTGTCGTTATCTGAAAACATGTTTATAAACAATTAGTAGTACACAAATAAATTAACTTATATATAAGGGAAGGAAATTAGATAGACAGTAATAATATTACTAACAAATGTCGTAACACGGAACAGACTTAATAAACGTCAGTAGTATAATAAGTGTATGTATGTTGTTACTTGTAGTTGTTAAAATTTCTTATTTTATTTGAACACATAAATATTGGTACGAATGGGCACCAAATAGATATACGCCACACTTTCATCATATTTGTGTGTGGGCTGTGATACTGCCCGGGTGCCCAGACCGAAGCAGGTGGATTTCTTAGGGGGCCACACCCGGAACCTTCGACCTGAAGGTCTGATCCACAAGGCAGTGGAGCATCGTAAGAAAATGAAGTCTCATGGTATCCGGTGACCAACGATTAGTTCATACACCTTTTGTTCTCTCGGGCTACTGGGGCTAATGTGAACCATTGGTTTGGAATGAGTGTTTTCCAACTCTCCTAGGTGGACTCGTCATGTCCACCAACCCGGTTCAAGCTTCGGACATTCGCTTTTCGTCCTCTGAATTTCGTGAACAACACCTTCGACACGAGAAGGCAGTGAATAGGACTTCCCTAACAGTGGCCATGTGAGAGCATTTCGAGAGGGAGAGTAGACTCTCCCCACTCTCGGCCGTACCACGGCATTTAAAGGCTAATACATATTTTGTTTTACATTGACCAGTTATTTGATTAATAATTACAAATTAGTAATTCTTCTACAATCAAATTACTATACACATAGCAACAAAATATTTGAAAATTTATCACAGTTCTAATCTTTAACTGTTTAATTAGCGGGGATCATTTTTGGAAAATATATCAAAACCAAAAGAATGGAAACCTGTACCACAGGTATTACTTGTGCTTTAAATAGATTCGAACTTATATATGTACATCAGCTGTTGAAATGTTCTTCAGCGTTTATAAACATATATATATATATATATATATATATATATATATATATATGCGTGTGTGTGTTAGTGTGAGTGTGTGTATGGGTGTGTGTGACGACTTCATCTGTTTAACATAGAATTGAATCTAGTATTAACTATCAATATATATATTTTATACACATATACTACTTATAAGAAAGCTTCGCCTCATGTTAACTTATACAGAAAAATAATATTCGATGTAATTCACAATATTTTCTAACTGATCACTTTCCATTTATATTAAATATATACTGTTTATGTATGAATGATGACCGAATGTCTACTTATGGTGATAATCTACTGATGTGTGCTTTTCTTTATATACTTATTTGGATAGTAACTAACATCATATGGTTTGGTGATTAATTCTAATACAGTTTATACTAATTAAGTGACAATATTGCCATTATTATCAGAAGGGGTTTTGTGGAGATTTAAGTAGTTTCATTAGCTGAAATCGTGAGTCAATTGAAGCTAGACAACCGTGGAAAACCTGGAATCACTGAACGGCCGTTTTGTCCTAGTATGGAACTCCTCAATAGTATACACACGCGATCCCGCCCCTCGCGAGATTCGAACACAGGACCTATCAGTCACGCGCGCGAGCGCTTTGATACTGCCAGGGTTCTCAAACCAAGGCAGGTGGTTTTCTTAAGGGGTCACACCCAGAATCTTCTACCTAAAGGTGTAATTCACAACCTAAGGAGATACAGTCCCATGGTAGCTGGTAACCAACGATAGGTTCATACACCATTTGTTCTTTTAGGATCATGGATCCCATGTGCACCATTGGTTTGGAATGAGTGTTTTTCAACTCCCCTAGGTGGACTCTCTGTGTCTACTAACCCACATTCACATTTCGTCCTCTTAATTCTGTGAACAACACCTCCTCCATGAGAAGGCGGGTCAACCTTCTACTCCCACAATATAATTAATTTTCGTATTTCATGTAGAAATTCTTAAATGATTAAATCTGATTAATGAATTATTTATTATTTGTAATATCTATAGAAACATTCTTGTTTTGGAAGTTTCTTATGAGACTGTTTTATTCTTGTATGTTCTTAGTATTGTTTTAATGTGCCTAGTTAGTTATTCGCATAGTAATTATAAATTGTGTTAATCACTTAATCACCTGCTATAGTGTTTTTCTTGTTAACACTACTAATCTAATTAACCCTGAATTTGTTTTAGTCTCATTATTAACATTATTACTTTGTCTCAATATTGAATATATCATTTACAGCATAGAGTTGTAGGGATTGTTGAATTTTATTGAAATCTTGAACTGATCTAAGTTGGATCGTGCATGAGACAACGTTGAATGTTGACTTAGTAGTTTAGATACTAGAGTTTCATGTACAAGACTTAAAGTCCTGGGACCGATTCTTAGGTACATAGTGGTGAATTCTCAATGCCAAGAGTCCTGTATCTGGATGAAATGTCTGTTCTAGGTTTTCAGTAATGATCTAACCTAGATTGGTTTATGATTTCAATTAAATATATATTTATTTCAATAAAAGAAAATGAACACGTTTTATTGACACCATTTATGTTATCAATACATTTTCAGCTTTATAAGTTTTTGATATTAATTATCTTCCAATAGTTTATAATGAAAAAACGGGAAATCAATCTCAGTTGTGCAGATTCACTCATTAATTATCTCTCTCTCTCTTTCCTTTTCTTTGTCTTTCTTAAAATATTAACTTTAGTATCACTTCATGAATTCTATCCCTTTATTTGACTTATTGTCATTAGTTCATCAGGGTTACCTTCTGTCTCTGTACAAATGTAAAGTATAACAATCTGAACAGGTATGTAATTATGTAAGAACATTACTTACTTCCTTACGCCTGTTACTCCTCGTGAAGGAGCATAAGTTGCTCACAAGCATTTTACATCCAACCCTCTAATGGGCAATCCTTTCAAGCTCTTTCCAATTGTTATTCATCATTTTTATATCCGCTTCTATTTCCCGATGTAATGTGTTCTTTTGCCTTCCTCTTTTCCACTTCCCTTCACGATTCAAAATTAGGCCTTTCCTCGTGATGCAGTTGGATGATTTCCGTAATGTATGTCCTATCCACTTCCAACGTCTTTTCCTAATTTCCTCTTCAGTTGGAAGCTGGTTGGTTCTCTCCCACAGTAGGCTGTTGCTGATGGTATCCGGTCATTGGATGTTGAGTATCTTGCGTACACAGCTATTGATATATACTTGTACCTTCTTGATGGTGGTTGTTGTAGTTCTCCATGTTTCAGCTCCGTATAGTAGAATTGTCTTGACGTTCGTATTGAAGATTGCGACTTTGATATTGGTTGACAGATAGTTGTTTTGAGTTCCATATGTTCTTCAATTGAAGGAATGAAGCCCTTACTTTGCCAATCCTCGCCTTGACGTCTGTATCTAAACCTCCTTGTTCATCAACGATGCTTCCCAGGTATGTGAAGAATTCTACATCTTCCAGAGTATCACCATCAAGTGTGATTGAAGTGCTGTTCTCCGTGTTGTATTTGAGGACCTTTGTTTTCCCCTTGTGTATGTTGAGGCCTACTGATGCAAAGGCTTCCGGTACACTGGTTGCCTTCACCTGCATTTGTTCGTGTGTATTGGATAGGAGGGCTAGGTGATCTGCGAATTCCAAATCGTCTAATTGGTTCTGAGCTGTCCATTGTATGCCGTGTTTTCCCTCAGATGTTGAGGTTTTCATAATCCAGTCGACCACCAGAAGAAAGAGGAAGGGAGAGAGTAGACAGCCTTGTCTTACTCCGGTCATGTAAGAAAATACTCTGTTTATATTTGTATTACGTATCATTCTTTATCATTCCTGTCAACACGGTAATAAAATAGAATCGTAATCATAGTTCAGATTATGATCCATTACACTCTCATCAAAACTTCAACAATTGAGAAGGTAGAAGAACCTCAAAAGAACTCATTTCAGTTTTACCTAACGATAATCTATTGAATAATAAATGGATATTTTTGAAAAGATTTTACATAAATTTTTTCTGGTTAGTGTTTTTTTTGAGTTAGCTATTACAGGATGAGGTCGCTAACCTTATGCCCAACTCTCCTCTATCCGTGCTTGGGACTGACAGTAGCCACAGAAAGGCTCCAGGACAGCTCTTTTTCTCTTTTAACTAATCTATCTGTAAGTGGGTGTGATATCCCTGCATACTTACTTACTTACACTTGTTACCTCTCATGGAAGAGCATAGGCCGTGCAACAGTGTTCTTCATCCAACACTGTCCATGGCAGTTTGTACTAGTAGCTGTTCATCCTTCTCATATCTGCTTTCAATTTTTAGTGCAATATGTTCTTCAGCTTTCCACTTCTACATTTCCCTTCAGGATTCCAAGTTACGGCTTGCCTCGTCATGCAGTTTAGTGATTTCTATAATGTATGTCCTATCGATTTCCATCTTCTTTTCCCACTTTTCTCTTCAACTGCCATATCCTAGTTTTATTAACTCCACTCCTGAAGTAATTAATTATTTAGAGAAAAGTCCATCTATGCTAATCAACTTTTCAGTTTATTGAAACTTTTTTGATAACTCCAATTAAATGGTGGTGGATTTATATTGCTCAAGATTTCCAAACTAGAATTAAATAAACAAAGATGGATAGTGGCTAGCAGTGAAAATTAGGACGCGTGTTACGTCTTATTTGAGACTCGCCAGCTAGATGTATCTGCATCTCAGAGTTGATGTTCACTTTTGAACTCGAAGTTAAGACTCAGTGGCTAAATGGATTACGCAATGGCGTTTAAAGCAAACGATACTTGGTTCAAGTTCCAGTGTGAACATCCACTCTCTGATACAGGTACATCCAGCTGACGAGTCCCAAATAGGATAAACTCGCGTCCTTGATTCTACTGCTAGCTACTGTTCATCTTTGCTTATAATACTTGTGAATTAAAGCAATATCAAGACAATGCTCACCATATGTACATATACTAAGAACAGACTGATCAATTGCAGTGCTAACCGTCATTTGAGAAGATTCAAGTAAAACAATACCAAGTGAATTAAGAATGAAATAATTTCCTATTTCTCTTACGTTTTTAATGGTTGTTTATCTAGGATTGTTACATAATATAAAATACCAAATGTAACAATCTTCACAAACCTTTTACATTTATGAAAAGACTTATTTGTTTAAATGTTAATGCCATAAATAGTAAGTAAAGAATATAAAAAAAACAAGATCATACAACAATAATTTACTTGTAAACTGATATGTCATTACAATGTCTATGTATATTGACACAATTCAATATATATGTCAATAAATTAGTCTTTTTATGTATATTTATGATTTAGTATTCTACTATTTCATCATAATATTACGTAATGATGTTTCTTGTTATTGATTGATATCATGAACCGATTGATGTTAGACCATCATTGAATACCTAGAAACACTGGACGGCTGTTTCGTCCCATTGTTGGACTCCTCAGCGGTGCGCATCCACGACCCTGCTCGTAAGATTCGAACCTAGGACCTTCAGCGTTGCGGTTTTGTTGGGTTCGAGTCCTGCGAGGTGGAATCGTGGGTGTGCACTGATGAGGAGTTCCATACGAGGACGAAACGGCCATTCAGTGCTTCCAGGTTTTCTATGGTGGTTTAGCTTCAATTGACTCATGAATTCAACTACTAAGCAAATCACAACTAAGTAGTTTACATTTGACACTTTAATATGAGCTAGGAAATTTAATCATGGGATATTTATAATCTTTCTAAAACAACCCTATCAATAGCTAATATAGCTCATAAAACATAATACCTGTAAAAATACCTAACAGTTGTTTATAATTTTTCACCTGATCGATAAACTCTGTTTGTCAGTAGTGTGTTATGGGGATTGTTGAATTTCATTGAAATTCATTGGCTTCAATCGACACGGTTTAGCCCTAATGGTCGCGGTTCTCCCTATAATTCCGGAGATTTCCTTTCCAACCTAATTAATAGTGACCATATGGTAAATTGTCATTAAGGAGCTGTGGAAATTGTTGGTGGCCATACGATTTTGTGAATCGCTGAAATTTCAACGTTAAGCAGTTGAATGATGACCCAGTGATCTAGAGGTTAAGCGTTCGCGTGCGGAAACTAGGATCCTGGACTTGATTTTAGGTTGTGTGATCGTGAATGCACACTGTTGAGACGTTCCATATGTCGAAAAATACCAAACAAGGCTTATCAAATACTATTTAAAATATCTAACAACTGGATAATTCAAAACATTTCAAATTATTGACTTTTGGTTTACATAAACTTTCCTACCATCTTAACTCATTTAACTTTTATCTTCACCCGATTGTACAAGTCAGTGCTTATCTTAACTTAGTAGCTAAAACAATAGTATACTGACGTTTGAAGCAAATAGTAACGGGTTCGAACTCCAGGGGTAAACATCAACTCTGGTATACAGGCACATTCAACTGACGAGGCCTGAGTAGAACAAAACACACGTTCTAGATTCTTCTGCTTACCATTAACTATCTCTACTTAACACAATGGGATGATTCAAGTTATTTTCCATCATCTTAAATAACATTACTAACATTTTAATAACCCATAACTGATTGACCATAAAATTATTCTATTTCAGCCAAAAGTTTGTTCTGAGATTATAAAAATATCTTTAAATAATCAAATTAATTGTTATGCTACATGATTTGTTACTTATGAATGTGATGTTCATTTATAGTTAGTGTTTTAATCAGTAGTTCAATGTTCAGTTGAAGTACATGTGTAATCAATCTTATTGTAATGCACCGATGAAATTTTAATTAAAAAAAACATAAAATGTAACGTTGTATATAACCTCAACATCATTAATAATTCACTTTGTTTCAACAGTTGAGATCATGAGTCAATTGAAGCTAGACCACTATGGAAAACTTCCTCAGCAATGCGCATCCACAACCCCGCCTCGCGAGATTCGAACCCAGGACCTATCATTCTCGCGCCAAGCGCTTAACTAACTAGAGCGATGAGCCGGTATTCAACTGTGTTAGCGTGTAACTTCAACGAATCCACAAAATTGAGCGGCACATCCACGATTGTCATCAGTGAGGTACTATCCCACAACTGACCCGGTTGAACTCCACTGGTCACTGCTTTTCACTAGAACTCCAGGATATACACCTTGAAGCCAGTCACTAGTGAGCATATGTTGATTCATATCAGATGGGGATTTTATGGATATTATAGTAGTTTTAATAGTTGAGATCATGAGTCAATTCATGTTGTTTGCTTGTATCATCCCATTGTTATTTAGGACTGTAGTTGATCAGTCTCTTGTTGGCATACATGCGTCCTTTGCAAATTGCCTTAAGTCACAAGCTTCTTAAGCAAAGATGAATGCACATATACCAACATGAGACTGATCAATTGTAGTCTTAAATAACGAAAATGGGAAGGTAGAATTAAAAACAACACCAAGTGAATTTAAACTTCACCCCATGACACAAACAAGTGGCTACCAGGACTCAGTAGCTAAGTGGAAAACGTGATGGCGTTTGAAGCGAATGGTACAGACTTCAAGTCTCAGAGTGAACATCAACAACTCTGAGATGCAGGTACATCCAGCTGACGATCAGTTCCTAATATAAGACGAAACGTGCATCCCGGATTCCGTTGCTAGCCATGTTCCATCTTTGCTTAATAACTATTAATTAATGTATTATTTTACAGAGATTGACTTACAATAAATAGTTTTTATTATTTATTTATATATTTTAACACATAAATATTGGTACAAGGAGGCACCAAATATATATGTGTCACACAAATCTCATTTGATATGTGTGAGGGCTGTGATACTGCCCGGTTGCCCAAACCGAGGAAGGTAGTTTTCTTAGGGAGCCACACTCCGAGCCTTCGACCTGAAGATCTGATCCACAAGGCAGTGGAGCATCGTAAGGAGATGCATTCTCATGGTAGCCGGTGACCAGAAATTGGTTCATACGCTATTTGTTCCCTCAGGCAGGATACTGGAGCCCATATGCACCATTGATTTGGGATCCGGTTAAAGCGCTAGACATTCGCTTTTCGTCCTCTCATTTTCGTAAACATCACCCGTGGTGAGAGAAGGCAGTGAGTAGAACTTCCCTGGCAGAGGCTATATACGCGTGGACATGTGAGAGCATTTCGAGAGGGAGAGTGGACTTTCCCCACTCTCGGCCATACCAGGGCATTTGGGGGCACAATAAATAGTTATTTCAATATTGATAAATAAACAATTAACTCATTGACTAAACATTTGACTTTTTATTGATTTATATTGTCCTGTATTATTTTTTTTTGTTTTTTTTTCTCTTCGTTACTATGATTATTATTGTTATGATATAGTTAGCAAATCTATTTTTAATTGGTTCACCATTAGCTCTATTTATATCAGTGAATGATTTATGTCCACCAACTTATATTAATCCATCAACGAATTCATTAAATTTAACTAATTCTACTGATGATGATGATGGTGAACGAAATCCAATAAATCATTTACATTCAATACAAAATAGTATAACATCAACAACAACAACATCAACATCAACATCTAAACATACAGGTATTGATTTAGATGAAACTGATCCTGAAGCATTATTTTCATATTTTGCATGTCGAAGAGTATTCAATATATTTCATTCATATGATCCAGTGGTAAGTATATATATATATATATATATATATATATATATATACTGTTTGTAATGTAACACAAGTTTATCTATGCATGTTTCATCATGGATTGAAGCATTACTTCAAGTGTCAGTCAGTCAGTCAGTAACAACGCGGAACTTCGTACGTACATACATCAGTTCGAGTTGCCATACCACAATAGCACAGAGATTCAGTTATCGATTCAAATCCCGTAGTGGTAAAAAAGTAGTGAAACTATAAGTAGTGATAGGGAACATTAGGGTTTGACGATGTTATTTTAGGAGTATCATCCAGTGGAATAGATTTGGAAAGAAAATAAAGGGCATGAAGAATTCAGAAGATTAGAGTTTGAGAGAACACAGAGATTAGATGCACCTGCACCATTGCAAACGATTTTGAGCCATGTCATTCAAGGTCTCTAACCATCGGTTGATATCGTATCCCGGTCCCCAACCAGGTAGTCTACACCTACCAACATGACTCAGTCCACTTGTCAGTGACTTCATGGATTTGTGTCATGTTTTGGTCTGGCCGCCCCTAGCTTTCTTCCAACCTACTCCTACACCATAAAACATTGCACGTCGGGGCAGTCGGTGGTCGGGTATACGTAGAACATGTCCCAGACACTACTTCATCAACTGACTGGCCATCCTTACCTAGTACCTGTTTCCTAACACCTGAGTTACTTACTTGGTGGTCCCAGGATACTTGAAGTGACATTTAACAGAAAAAAAATGCAGAACAATAAACATTTAAATTCTGGAACATGTCATCAATTCAAGTCATCCTATTTCATTAGAATTGTCTTTCGAAATAAGTCTACACAACCAAACAATTCAAGTCAATAAGAGTACAAATTATGTTATCGTATACTTCAAAGGTTTTAACAAATCATTGGGGTTTAATTCTTAACACTGTATGTAAAAGTATCACGTGTAATACCTTATTATCATTATTATTATCATGGGACTAACGTCTGTTCTAATCTATCTTACTCAGTAATCAACTGTTATTACCGGGTTTGTGTGTGTGTGTGTGTGTGAATATTATTCAACTATTATTGTCTCCATGCTTTTTCATTTCTTCTTTATACTTATTAAAGATAGAAAGTTCTCTCATACCTTTACTTTTTATTAACCTAGAAACTATTTTCATTCTATCACAGTTATATTTTAACCTTTAAATCAATTCTACTCAAACTTCTTATGACATATATCAGATATTCAAATACTTCATTATATATCAATAATTGAAATTATCAATTCTCCATAAAACCCCTTCTAGTAATAATCATCTGCTCACTAGTGACTGACTTCAAGAGATACTCCTGGAGTTCTAGTGAGAAGCCGTGACCAGTGGAGTTCATTCAGGTCTGTTGTGAGATATCAGCTCACTGAAGACAATGGTGTAGGGTGGCGCAACTTCGTGAATTGGTTGAAGTTAGACATTAACACCGTTGGATTTTGGCCGGCTCAGTGGTCAAGTTGGTTAAGCGCTGGTGCGAGACTGATAGATCCTGGGTTCGAATCTCGCAGGGGGGAGCGGGGTCGTGGATGAGCACTGCTGAGGAGTCCCACACTAGGACGAAACGGCCGTCCAGTGCTTCCAGGTTTTCCATGATGGTGGTTTAGCTTCAATTGATTCATGATTTCAAATATTGAAATTACCAATTCTCCACAAAACCCCTTCTAGTAACTTCATTATATAGTTCAGTTTGTTTGTTTATTTTTTTCCTTCAATAAACTACTATTTTCCTTATTAATATCAGGAGGGGTTTTTGTAGATAGTATAGTAAAGTTAAACATAAACACCGTTGGATGCTGGCTAAATAGTCTACTGTTTAAGCACTAGTGCGCAAGACTGACAGATCCTAGGTTCGAGTTTTACGAGATGTGATCGTAGATGTACACTGTTGAGGAGTCCTATACGAGGACAAAAAACGATCGTCCAGTACTTCCAGGTTTTCTATGATCGTCTAGCTTCAATCAACTCATGATCTCAAGTATTGGAATAACTATTTTCTTTGTTAAATAATTATCAGTAAGAGTATATAGTTCTATTGAATGATATCTCATTCACTAAAATATATGTTCAACTCTTCTTTGAATGTGTTATACTTCTTCTTCTTCTATCTATTGAACATTTGATTACATATACTTCATCATTGATCATTTAAAGTACAGACTATTTCAGCGTTTGTTGATATGCATTCCCCTTTTTAAATCACTAAGGTCAAATGATATGTCTCTCAATAAAATCTATTACAATTATTAAATTATAATTTAATTTATTAATTAGAAATTAAGGACAATATTTGAAATCAACATGATAGAGTTTACCTAAGAATTTGTTCAAAATAACTAAAGATGAATTATCATTTCATAAGATTTGGTTATCAGTCGGTCAGTCAATCAGGTACAACGTAGGACCAGGAACATACATGCATCGGTCCAAGTTGTCATACCTCATTAGCACAGCAGGATGAACACTAGAATCATAGAAGTAGTTAAGTCAATAGTAGTAATATATAAAAGAAGGAAAGATATAAAGTAGTTTTAATCTTACAGTTTAAGGGAAGACAGTGTTTACACCTACGTCATTGTGATCGATTCTGAGCCATGTCACATAGACCCCAACCAAGTAATCTGCATCTACCAACATAGTTAATGACTAGAAGTTAGTGACTTTATGGACTGTTGCCACTTATTGGTTTGGCTACTCCTAACTTTCTTCCAACCATCCCCAACACTAGTCAGCATTGCACGTCGTGGTGATCGGTGTTCAGGCATATGTAACACGCGGTCTATCCATCGCAGTTGATCAAGATTTACCTTATCAACTGATTTACCATCACTCCCTAATACCCTGTGTCTAGTCTCACCATTACTTACTCGGTAATCCCAAAAGATGCGAGCAATATTTCTAAGACATCTGTGGTCAAATAATGTAACAGTAAAAATATATTCATTTCTTAGTTCCACCTAAATATTTAGTTTTGAACTATTTTCACCACTAATGATATTATTATTTTGAATTCTTCAGTTTTCATCATAGTGATTTCCTTGTTTTTCACACGGATATGATATACAACAATTGGAAACGATAGACTTTTATTCCAAACTGTGGGGTTGAAATAGTCTTGATTATGTGGTGGATAACGATATCTCCGTATATATGGATAGGATCAACTTGATATTTATCGGTCTACATCCTTTGGACTTCGCAGATGATCTAGCCCTCCTATCCAATACACACGAACAAATGCAAATAAAGACGGCCAGTGTAGCAGAAGTCTCTGCATCAGTAGGCCTCAACATACACAAGGGGAAAACCAAGGTCCTCAAATACAACACGGAGAACAGCACTTCAATCACACTTGATGGTGATACTCTGGAAGATGTAGAATCCTTCACATACCTGGGAAGCATAATTGATGAACAAGGAGGTTTAGATGCAGACATAAATGCGAGGATTGGAAGAGCAAGGGCAGCATTCCTTCAATTGAAGAACATATGGAACTCAAAACAACTATCTGTCAACCAATATCAAAGTCGCAATCTTCAATACGAACGTCAAGACAATTCTACTATACGGAGCTGAAACATGGAGAACTACAACAACCACCATCAAGAAGGTACATGTATTTATCAATAGCTGTGTGCACAAGATATTCAACATCCAATGACCGGATACCATCAGCAACAGCCTACTGTGGGAGAGAACCAACCAGCTTCCAACTGAAGATGAAATTAGGAAAAGACGTTGGAAGTGGATAGGACATACATTACGGAAATCATCCAACTGCATCACGAGGCAGGCTCTAAACTAGGACTCTGAAGGGAAAGAGAAAAGAGGAGGGTCAAAGGACTTTCTAGGCTGAGAATGGGAAGCAGACATGAAAAGGATGAATAACAAGTGGAAAGGATTGCTTGAGACAGGGTTGGATGAAGAATACTGATGGGCGGCCTATGCTCCTCCACGAAGAGTAACAGGTCTAAATAGTAATAATATCCCTTAATGACAGTCATCAATTATTCATAGCCCTTTACCTGTCCTACTTTATATTAAATACATCTTTTAATATATGATTATTTGTCAATTTCTTTTTCGTAACATGACTTATCTACTATTAACTGATTGTTAAAATATCAATGAATCAATTCATATTTAGTGTATTAGACCAACTCATTTCATGGATGCCCATTGCTGAGGAGGAATCCCATAATAGGACGAAACGCCCGTCCAGTGCTTCCAGGTTCCTAACAGTGATCTAACATCAATCGATTCATAATCTCAATCAAAAAGTTCATCATCTTCACAACTCTTATACTAAAAACTCATATTGTGTTTATCATAAGTTATATCAAGTAACAGTTTGTTTTGCCTAAATATGCCACTAATGCATAAAACTAAATACTTCAAGTTTTCTCTTCTTTATTCCACTCAATAACAACGATAATATTACTAATACTACTGTACTGAACAAGAACACCAATGGGGACAATCGAATGTATTTGATCACTTAATTACAGAGCATCTCAATAAAATCTGAGAACCATATATTGTAAATCGTTAATTTGCAAAATATCAATCCATCATTTCAAACCTGACTATTCCTGTTGCAAACATCAATCCATTGTCTCAGATTTCATTGTTCATGCATGTTCATACCAATTGCATTCTGTTTCTGTTCTTTCCTTATCGATCTTCTACTGAAATACATTCTATGCTTGACCACCGTTATATACTACTTGTGTGGATATAAGTAACCCACACCACACTACTACTACTGCTACTACTAGTAATAGTAATAATAATGATAGTAATAGTAATATTAACAATAGTAATAATAATGATTGTAATAGTAATACTATTAGTAATAATAATGATAATAATAATAATAATAATAAGATCAGCTTTCCTTATTATGTCAGTCATATGCTTTCAGCTGTTTTAAAAAGAACAAAACTATCACCAAATATTCTCATTAAAAGCATAAA